TCCAGTCTGGGCGACAGAGTGAGACTCCAACTCAAAATAAAATAAAATAAAATAAAATGTAGATGAGGCATGCGAAAGTTGTTAGAATCAAAATGAAGTCGTAAATGTTAGGAAAACACTGACCTGAAGTCATGAATGTTAAGAAAACACTGACAAACAGAACCAGAATAGGCCAGGAAGAAAGGGTTCTCATGCATAGATGCCTGACAACAAAAACTATCAAAAAAGACTACAAAAACCGTAGCCTTGCACAAAGGCTATCAAAATCCTTCACAAAAAATACTTTTCCATGGACATCTTCCCAGCAACTGCCTGTCCAACCTCAGCCTGGCATCACCCCTGTTAATTATCTTTGTAGTTAAGGGTAATAATTATTTCAGAACAATTATGTAATCCTCTTTTTTTTCCTCCAAAAACCTTGTCTAGCTGGATGCAGTGGCTCAACTTGTAACCTCAGCACTTTGGGAGGCCAAGGCAAGAGGACTGCATGAGACCAGGGGTTCGAGACCTCGTCTCTACAATAAATCACAAAAACTAGCTGGACGTGGTGATGTGTGTCTGTAGTTCCAGTTACCTGGAAGGCTGAGGCAGTAGGATCCCCTAAGCCCAGCAGGTCAAGGCTGAGGTGGCCGTAAGCATGCTACTGCACTCCAGCCTGGGCAACAAGAGTGAGACTCCAACTCAAAAAAACAAAACAAAACAAAACAAAAACCCCAAAAAACAAAAAATAACTGTCTTGCTTTACCTCCCTAAAAATATACAGTTTACTATAGCATGTGTACTGCCACTGCAATACCCCAAAAATCTTTCCATTAGACAGCCTGTCTCTGCTATTTAGATTGATAAGCATTTCATATAACCTTTATTATATTATCCAGTTTGGTAACTTTTGCCAATGGACTTGCCTGAATTGTATGATCAACAATAATAGGTTGGCTACAGTGGCTCACACCTATAATCCCAGCACTTTGGGAGGCCGAGGTGAGAGGACTGCCTGAGCCCAGGGATTCGAGACCGACCTGGGCAACCTGGAGAGACCTCATCTCTACAATAAATCAAAAAATAAGCCAGGTATAGTAGCACGTGTCTGAAGTTCCAGCTACTTGGAAGGCTGAGGCGGAAGGATCACCTGAGCCGGAAGGATCACCTGAGCCCAGCAGGTCGAGGCTGCAGTGGCCTTGAGTGTACCACTGCACTCCAGCCTGAGCGACAGAGTGAGACTCCAACTAAAAATACAAACAAACAAACAAAAAATAATAATTAAACATACTGAGAAGAAATGTTTTTTGCCAGGCATGGTAGCTCATGTCTGTAACACCAGCACTTTTGGAGACAGAGGTGAGAGGACTGCCTGAGTCCCTGGGTTCAAGACCAGCCAGGGCAATGTGGCGAGACCTCATCTCTACAATAAATCAAAAAAATTAGCCAGACGTGGTGGTGTACACCTGTGGTTCTAGCTACATGGAAGGCTGAGGCAGAAGGATCACCTGAGCCCAGCAGGTCAAGGCTGTGGTGGCCGTGAGTGTGTCACTGCACTCCAGTCTGGGCAACAGAGAGACTCCAACTCAAAAAAAAAAAGTTTTTGAATAAAAATAAAATCAGGAAATTCCCCTTTTACACTAGGTAAAGTCAAAGTTCATAACAGAAAGCTTATCATGGAAACTTAGGCAAACTCTACCATGCTAATGAAAAGGATGGTGTTAATGATACATAATGACATTAATGATACAAAAATCTAGACTTTAAAACAGTTTAGAAAAAAGTCTTAAGTTATCAAAATTTTAGAGATGTAGTCCAAGATAATGTACTTAATTTAAAATGATAAAAGAAGCCGGGCTCGGTGGCTCAGCCTGTAATCCTGCACCTTTGGGAGGCTGAGGCTGAGTGGACTGCCTGAGCCCGCGGGTTCGTGGCCCGCCTGGGCAGTGAGACCTCATCTCTACAATAAATCAAAAAACCAGCCGAGCGTGGTAGTGCGCACCTGTAATTCCGGCTACTTGGAAGGCTGAGACGGAAGGATTGCTGGAGCCCAAGAGGTCGAGGCTGCGGTGGCCGAAAGCGGCCACTGCACTCCAGTCTGGGCAACAGAGTGAGACTCCAACTCAAAAAAATAAAAATAAAAATAAAAAAATAAAATGATAAAAGAAATATAGGTTTCTATAAAAATCTGAAATGTCGCCAGATTTATTTTTTGAGAGATATAACAGTTCAGCAGTTGGCAGTGCTGATAAGGTGTGAAGCTTTCAGGTTAAAAAAGTCTGATAATTTTGTTTCCTCTATTTAGGAAAGGCTAGATGTTTACCCTATTAAACGCAAACAGTTCCAACAGATTTAACATTTTGAGTCTTTTCCACTTAAAGAATTCAATTTGGTTTTGTTTAAAGAAAAAAAACTTCAGAAGCTAAATAAGTTATTTAAATGCATAAGTGTTTAAAATAACTCACAGTGCTCAGAAGGGTATATGACACATTTACAATGAAAACTACTGCATTTAATTTCTGTCTTACAACATATCTTGTAAATCACAGACAGTGTCATTTTTAAATCTGTACATGTTTTGCATAAAAGCTCTAGGATCAATGAATTCATGGTTAATCTTATGTTTAGTTTGTAAAACATTTCAAAAGGAAGGAAATATGAAGTTCAAATTAATTTGCTTTTTATTTTATTTTATTTTTAATTTGCTTTTTAAAACAGAGCAAAAGTTGCCCTTCCAGTACCTGGGGAGTAGAAGTTCATTTCTTAGGCTAGATTTCAGAACTACATATTCACTTTTTTCTATTTCTTAACTGTTCTTAAAACTGAGAATTAGCTGGGCTCAGTGGCTCAGCCTGTAATCCCGCGCCTTTGGGAGGCTGAGGTGAGT